GCTCCTGAAACAAGTGAACACTTCAGAAGGCCCATTCCCCAGAATGTGTGCCAAAGCACCTATCAATTCACAGAGAATACAAATAGACCGAGCTTTGCAAGTGGAAGTGACAATGCTGAGAATAAACTAATGACATTGTAATTGCTGACATAAATCTTTGCCATTTTCCCACTTAAAAAAATGCATTGCCATTGAATTGACTCCAATGCGTGGCAACACTATAGGACAGGGTAGAACTGCCCTCCTCTTGCCGGGAGCACAGCACCTCTTCTTCCTTCTGTGGAGCGGCTGGTAGTATCAAACTTAACAGTGTGGTTAACAGCACAACCCGTAACCCACTATGCCATCAGAGTGCCTGTATTTAATAGAGAGGGGGGGAACTAGTAAAGAGGCAGCAGGGGGAGGGGTGCCTATGTTAACACATGAGGTCACTTTAATTTGCAGCACAATATAACTATTCACAATTTCAAGCAATTAAACCAGCTTCCTTTGATCCATCCAGCAGTGGTTTTCAGGTTTTAGTTAGAAAGGAAGACGTCCAAGTCCTAGGTCATCAAGCTACGTTTCTTCAGCTTCCTTGAGGCTGACCATTCCCTTTCTCAGCACCTTGCCACATGCAGCAGGCCCAAGTAACTTAAAGCTGGTTTGAGGGTCCTTTCAACTCCACTCCTGGCAGAATCTACAGGTAGTCCTCATTGTACGACAGGGCCTTATTCTGATATCTTCAAGGTAAATAGGTTTTAACATTAAACTCTTAAATTTTTTTTCATTATTATTGCGTTCTATTATTAATATCTTTATAGATCCTATATTTGTTTGTCTTTGGGTTTGGCATGAGGATAATAACATCAGCAAATCACATACTGCAACATCCGATGTAGTACATGTTACCTGTGATAAGATGTATCCCCCAAAATTGACTTGCAAGTGCAGTTCCTCGTCCAATACATCATAAACTGGGAGTGCCTTTACTTCTTAGTCTCCACCAACAAGGAGACATGGCAAAATGGCAACTCTCAGGGCAGCTACGCGGGCTATTGGCTGCTCTCAGGGTGCCCTCTGCTGGTCATATATGGAAGTTTAAGAAAAAGCCAAGGCAGGCATTTTCGGTGAATTCAAAAGAACAATCAGTAGAAAACTCCCTGCAGACATATCTTGGCTGTGAAAACAAATTCCTGATGACATTACTTTAGAGAAGCACAGAATAACCGTATTTAAGAATTCTGAGATAGACAACAGAGAAGTGGATGAAGGGAGACATTGGTCAGTGTGAGACATGAAAAAAATAGTAATAATTTATAAAGTATAAAGGGTTCGTAAAGGAGGGAGAGTGGGGGAGGGAGGGGGAGCTGATACCAAGGGCTCAAGTAGAAAGCAAATTTTCTGAAAATGATGAGGACAACATATGTGCAAATGTGCCTGACACAATGGATGGATGGATGGATGGATTGTGATAAGAGCTGTACAAGCCCCCAATAAAATGATTAAAAAATAATTCTGAGATTTTCAATGAGGGTTATTTTTCTGGAAGAAATTAAAAGGTCTTTTTGTTTGATTTATTTTGTCACTGTCAATTGTTGATGCTCCCCCCCAAAAAAAATCTTAATATTTTTGATCTCTGAGATTTCAGAAAGGATTTTGATGTTAAGATGTTTGGCCACTTGGAAGCTCCTTCTGCCCCAAAGTAACACTATCGATGGCTTCTAACGGTACACTGAAATAGGCAAGAGTAGAAAGACCAAAGTTTGTTCTTACCTCCCAGTGGTAGGAAGGAATCCCTTGATGATCCCAGGAGTTAAGTGTTCAGCTAACTAAGGGTCGGTCACGTGAACCCACGTAGAGGTTCCTGGGGAAGGAGTCCGGGTGTGTAAAGATTCCACTCTGGGCTGCAAAGCGGCCATTTGAACCCACCGTCCTGTCCTCAAGAGAAAATGGGGCTCTCTCCTCTGACAAAGTTACAGCCTGTCCCGTGGGGCTCACTGTTAGTTGGCATCGACTTGATGGCAGGGAGTCTGGCTTGGGATTTTGGAGAGGCTCATGGAAGCAGTCGTCAAGAAATCCAACATTTCTTGGGAAAATCTGCTACCTAAAGCCTTTTAAGGGGTTAAGAGCAAAGATGTCACTTTGAGAACCAAGGTGCACCTGCCTCGCGTCCTGACATTTTAAATTGCCTGGTGAGGATGCGAAGGCTAGAAAATGAATGAGAAAGACAACAGAAGAAGTGGTGCATTCGCATCACGGTGCTGGAGAAGATATTGTCAGTGCCATAGGCTGCCACAAGAGTAAACAAACTGTCTTGGAAGAAGTGCAGCCAGGAGGGAGGGCCTGTTGTCTGGAGACATGTTATCAGGAGACGAGCCCTGGGCAAGGACATCATGCTGGGGAAAGTGTTAGTGGAAAGGGCGGACTGACACAGTGGCTTCAGAAATGGGCTCCAACATAATAATTGTGAGGAGGGGGCAGAAGCAGATGGTGCTTCGTTCTGTGGAGCATAGGGGCTCTCTGAGGCACAGCCCACTCGACAGCATCTGTCAATAACAACAACACAGGCCCTTTGGAAGGCAGGCCTCGCAATCTGCTTCCAACGGGTCAAACCACCTGGAACCCCCTGTGTAGAAGTTCTCCTCTGCACCTCTGCACACAGAGGGGGGCCAGGAGTCAGAGTCAACTTGAAGTCAACTAACAAGCAGGGATGGATGACCAGGTGGGAGGGTGTGGCGGGGAGGAGCAGGTGCTCATAGATTGTACTCACTGTCAGTAAGTTAATTTTGACAATGTGTCACAGGGTGCAACTGCGCCTTTGGGTTCTCGAGACGGAAATTCTGTTTTTATAGGTGCTACGTTTATTTATTTATAAATTGTTTTATTGGCATATACTTCACATATGATACAATTCAATCATTCAATCATGTTGCATTGTGCAATCATCAGCACAATAAAATTCAGATCGTTTCCCATGCCCCAACCCAGTTACTGTTTTTATAGATCACCCTGTCCTGGATTTCATGCACAGAAATCCATACAAAACACAATCATACAAGATTATCTGAAGCAAACAAACCCCAACCATGATGACTAGACAAAACACAGAAAAGCCTCAATGAAAGAGAAAGATGAAAAGATAAAACAACTTTAAAAGGAAGATCAAATGCTAGGTATTACACTTGAACCTAACAGCAGTGGAAAGCCTCTTCTTGTTCCTGATCACTGCATAGCAGACACTGAACTTCTGCTAAGCATGATGGGAAAATCTAGAAATGGATCATGGTGAAGAATAAACAACATGTTTGATGTTTAACAACATAATTAATGTCACGAAACTGTACATGCAAAAAAATGTTACAATGACATGTTACATATAAATGAGGCTATGAAAATTCATAGGAAAATGCAATTTTTAAGCCCCTTCATATTTACCATAATTTTATTTTAAAATACATTGGAATAGCATGTCAACACAATCATTCCTTCATTTACTCCCCTCTCCCACATCTGATCCAGCTTCAGGAAAGTTAGAGCTGGTAGAAACTTAGAGGTGCACTTAAATTTTACAGATTACAACAATGAGCAGGCTGACTTGTGAAGGTCTTAACAGAGGCTTAGCTAGAAGGAAGGTCTCCACACCCTTACTCTAGGGCTCAATCCTCTGGGCAATCCCAGACTGGGACAGTCCATCTCTTAATGTCTGTGTTCATAGTATCTCTCATTCAAAGTTCCTTCCCCGGCACTGCCTAGTCTGGGGAGTGAGGTAACTCAGGGGGCTTATCTAAAACATCGGAATGAACTTAGGGATGAGAAAAGAAATGTTAGCTACTTAAAATATTGAAAGGACAAATCCTGAGTTGTGGCATTATCGAGGTGGGGATGGGACGCTTTTGTTTTGTTTTTGCATTGAGCTATTTTGCAAGTTTTCCTAAGTTCTTCCAACATGAGTCATAGTATCCCAAACCAAACCCACTGCCATCAAGCTGATCCTGACTCACAGGGATCTACATAGGGTGTCCAGGGCTCTTCAGCTTTACAAGATGGACAGCCTCGTCTTTGTCTCACAGAGCCACTGATGTGTTTGAGCCTGTGGTCCACGGTCCAATGCTTCCCCTTGAGTCGTACTACTACTCACTCACTGCCAGGAGTCAATTTTGCCTCATAGTGACCCTATAGGACAGGGTGGACCTGCCCCTGTGGCATTCTGAGATTGCAGCTCTGTACTCGAATAGGAAGCCCCATCTTTGTCCCTCAGAGTGAATCACAGCACAATGCACCAGGGCTGCATGAGTCCTAATGAACAGCAACCATATAGGACAGGATAGAATTGTCCCAGTGAGTATCTGAGACTCTAACTCTTTATGGAGTAGAAAGCTGCCGACTTTCTCCTGAAGAGCAGTTGGTGATTTCAAACTGCTGACCTTGTGCTTAGCAGCCCAACACAAAAGCACTATGCCACCGGGGCTCCTTCTGAATCATCATAGTACCTAAATGTCCCTTATTCAGGAGCGCTGGTGGTATAGTGGATTGGGTGTTGGGCTGCCAATCACAGCTTCAGCAGTTCAAACCTGACATCCTCACCCCAGGGAGTACGATGAGGCTTTCTGTTGCTGCATAGATTTCAGGGGCAGTTCTATTCTGTCCCACAAGCTCACTATGAGTCAGACATGACTCAGTGGCAGTGAGTTTGTGTTGTGTTGTGTTGTTGTGGTTTGGTTTCTGGGTTTTGTTTTTGGTAATTTTCTGTTTGAGGCAGAGAATTTTAATTTTTCACATTGTAAATAACATACTATATTCTGCCTATCAGGATATCACAGTATGATGGATCCACAGTGGAAGTGGTAGGAGAATTCTTACTCCCTATGGAGGAGACCTGGCATGACTCTCAGCCAAGGCACTTCCTGCATAATCACCACCTTTCTGGAAGGAAAGCTCACGTGTTACTGTGGGCTTGAATGGTTTCAGAAGAGCTTCCAGGTTAAGAGACAAGGAAGAAAGGCCTGGCAATTTATTTTTAAAGGTCAGTCGATGGAAACTCTATGGAGAACAACAGTCTAATCTTATGAGCTAGGTGCTTACTTTGTGGAAGCTAACATGATGTATACATATAAGCCATTTTCTTTGTTACTTAGGTGATTGGGAAAAGATACCAACATGTACAATTAAGTCAAAGCCAGCAAATGTTTTTACAATTACGTAATTTGCTAATTTTATTGAAATAAACCCACTTAAATAAACCAAATCAAAGAATATTTCACTGGCACTTGAGTGCTTGGGCTGATTGACATCCATGAGGTCATTAGTTTGAATTCACCAGCCGGTTCCCTCAGGAGAAAGTTACAGTCTCAGAAGCCCCCAGAGCAGTTAATTCTACCTGCCCTAGTAGGTCACATGGACTTCACAGCAGTGAGTTTGCTTTTTGTTTTTGTTCTCTTTGGCTGGGATCTCTGACCTTAAGGCAAAGTTGATGGGAAAATCTTCTCCATTGCACCATTCACCTCTTGCCTTCACTTAAAAAGCATCGAGCAGCTGTGCAGGGGAGGTCCTGATGTGTGCTTAAGCACTCAGAGAGTGTCTTGTACATCTCACAGGACAAAGAAAACAACGTGTAGAGAACCGCACACACCTCCCTTAAACCCGCGGCTTGTGTAGGAAAGAAACATTCCGTAATGCTGTGCGGTTACATTCCTTGGGTCAAGCATGCTTCGTCGCACCGAGGCCCATGTGGTCCATAGGTCCTCTTCACATTTTGGAGACATCTCTATTTGTGCTGTAACCAGGGGGCATGAATGTCCATCCACTTCCAAAATGCCTGGTTTCGCATTCATGTAACTGGGAATGTCTCCTCACACCCAGTCTGAAAATCACAGACAACTAGCTCTTCAAATCCAAAGAAATGTTTTCTTCATCCACAGCTTGTTGGAGCTTCGACTGGTTGCGAAGTGTTAGGAAGGAATATCTCAAACCTCCTGCCATGCTAAAGAGAGAGAAAAGAGTAAAAGTTTTAAACTCTAGGAATCCCAAAGGTCATCCTCCCAACAGTCCTTTGCTGTTCTTAAAAATAAACCAAATCTAAACCAGTTGCTGTGCAGTGAATTCCAACTCATGGCAACCCGTGGGGGTCAAAATAGAATGCTGCTTCAAACACTGTTCTGCGGCTGCTTTTCAAAGTAGATCATCAGGCCTTTCTTCCCCGAAGCCTCTGTATGGATTCATGCGATTAAGGTTTCTATCAGTAACTTTCTCCACCACCCAGGGACTCCTTCCTTTAAAACACAAGTCACTTAATTTAGAGGGAAAATGGTCCCTAGGTGTTACAAACAGTGTGCACCTAACTGTTCATCAAAAGGTTGGCCATGGGAAGTCACCTGGCAAAAGAAAGGTCTGACGATCTGTCAAGATTCCACCCTGCACTCCCGTCACTCACACGGATGAAACAAACAACGATCCTCTAGTTCTTCAGTGCTTCCTCCCCCCACTATCATGATCCCAATTCTGCCTTACACATCTGGCTAGACCGGAGCAGGTACACTGGTACAGATAAGAACTGGAAACACAGGGAATCCAGGACAGATGATCCCTTCAGGACCAATAATGAGCGTAGCCATACCAGGAGGATAAGGGGAAGGTGGGGTAGAAAGGGGGAACAGGTCACAATGATCTACATATAGGCCCCTCCGTGCGGGATGGACAAGAAAAAAATGGGTGAAGGGAGGCATCGGTTAGTGTAAGACATGAAAAAATAATAATTTATACATTATCAAAGGTGAGGGAGGGGGGGGTGTGAGGAGCTGATACCAAAGGCTGAAGTCGAAAGAAAATGTTTTGAGAATGATTATGGCAGCAATTGTACAAATGTGCTCGACACAATGAATGTGCATATGTATTGTGATGAGAGCTATATGAGGCCCCAATACAGTGATTAAAAATACATTTTAACACACACACACAAAGATTCCAGCCAAGAATATCCAGTGGGGTAGTTAGTTCTACCCTGGAAGGCATGGTGTTGCTATGAGTTGAAATCAACAACAGCAGGTTGAATGTTCTTGTTTCTTTGTTTAATCATTTTCCCTTCTCTAGTTCATGGTGTATTTTATAAGAATCTTTACATTTATTTATAAATATCTGGGGCAAAAAAGAATGGATAAAGCCTAAAAGAGGGTCTTGAAAAGACACCAAGTATTTGGTATTTATTGCATGAACTCTGTGCCATCCCCCTCTAACACTGGGATCCCAGAATACTGTGAAAAACATCTTGGTTAATCCTGCCAGTATCCCTAACATGTGGTACAAATTTCAGGAGACTCTTCTGTGAGGAAGACCGTGCAGTAAATTTAGATCCCAGCCCTTGAATTTGCATTTCACCTGTCCTCTGGGCTCCGTGAGGACACGAAGTCATAACACGTAGACAAACCCAGGGGCAGAGGCAAAATGACTTTTCAAGTCGCAATGCCAAAACACCTACAGGTTTAACATGTGACACTTCTCATTGTTCTTGTTTTGTTACATATTCATCAGACAGTTTGAAATTCTCATTGGATTAAAAGGAGTTCAGTTAAAAATCTCACTCACCAAATATTCAACCCTACGAAGTTTAATGGAGAGAAAATGTAGTCTCCGCCAACTAACATCCCAAGGTAGGCAACGGACACATTCTGCAGAAAAAGATAGAGGACCGGTCACTTTGATTTAGTAGGAAAAATACATACACATCTACTTTACATAGAGTTTCATTAAATATTTAATGATTCAGTGAAAATGCATTACATGTTGTTTTCTAAAGAAATGAAATAAACAATAATAAAAGTGTGTTCTTCATTTCTCTCCTTTCGGGTCAGTACCTACAAGTAAAGATTTCCGTGCTGGGTTATAATCATCTGGTAAGATCCTATCTCTGGCCCGTCACTGATGGTGAGTTTGAGTCAGATGGATGTTGGACTCGATCGTTGTCATTAGCTGCCATGAAGGAAGCCCCTGGTTCACGCAACCCCATGCACAATGGAACAAAATACTGCCCGTGTTATGCCCTTCCCATAATCCATTGCAGGCCATTGGCTAGTTTTCAGAAGCAGTTCACCAGACCTTTCTTCCTCGTGTGTCTTAGTTGAAGGGCTTGGCTGAAATCTGTCTAGCATCATAGCAACATCCAAGCCTCCACTGAAGAACAGCTGCATGAAGTGCACTCTCTGGGAATTGAACCCAGGTCTCACACATGGAAGGAGAGAATCCTACCAAGACACCTAACAATTCCAAACAATAGCCTGTCCAAAGGTGTTCTCGGAAGCCTGTGGGCAGCCAACAGACAGGTCTGCTGTTGAAGCAGTTAGATTTTCTCAGTTACTCTAGGAATTCACCTGAATAGAACAAGAAAATTGCTGATGACTAGAGTAGAAAGCAGCTCCACCTGCCAGTTCCGGAGGGTGTTGCGCGCGCACACAGGTACAGGCGGAACCTTCAGCTGCTAACTGAAAGGGTGACAAGTTTGAACCTGCCAACCACTGTGCAGGAGACATGTGAGCAAGCTGCTTGTCAAGAAGAATGGCCCTAGAGACGCCTAGGCAGTTCTCTGTCCGGCGAGTCACGGAGTCAAAGTGACTCAACACCGGTGTGTTTTGCACAGCCAAGTCGTCTCTGACTTGAGACAGGGCTCCATTCGGACAACTCTGCTGTCAGGTGAATGCCTCTTTTTGTCTAGTTTCCATCGCTACTATATAGCAATGTGATTTTTACTTTTTAAAAATAATTTTAATAGGTAAAAATGTACTTTTAATAACAACAAATCTCAAAACAATTTCTACTGTGAATTAGATGAGTGTTTAGTAACCCAGCTGAGTTAGTTCATTGTCCCAACCTGGCCGATAAACACATGTGGGATTAATTGAAGGGCGGAGGGATAAATGGGTGGTGAGCCTCGCCTTTCGAGTTCTCGGGTCTCTTGCTTTTTGATGTCAAACCAGGTGCAGCTGCCTTAGCAGTTCCCTGCTTCAGCTGGCAAGGCTGACTTCCTGCAAGACATCCCCAAGGAGAAGCCACATGGACCTACCCCGATGCAGCCCTGGGTGCTGGAGCAGCCGTGTGAACACCCCTGCCAGCGCTGAGATGCTTACCTCCTGCAGTTGGCATCATAGTGTGTGTTTTGTGAGATGGAGGAGGACTTTATGGATTGGTGTTTGACATCTGGGTTAACAGGTTAATGTTAGACTTGTGGGCTTGGGCAGCACTGGGTTGGGATGTTTTCTTGATGCTCACTTAACCTTTATATAAAACTCTCTGATACATAAGTTTCTGTGGATTTGTTTCTCCAAAGTACCCAGACTAATACACCAACTTAGCATAAGAAACTCCATTTTGTTTTTAAATGCCTTTAACCCCCTCTGCTAGGAGCCAGCTGCCCTTCCCCTCTTGCTTTCTCCTCCCCAATCTCCTGAAAGACCTTGAATCTCTCTGAATGTCTGCAGACACTTCCTGGTATCCTGACAGCCTAATAAATCAAATTGTAACTGCCTGCATTTCCCCCCTCTCCTTTATGCCAGCCCTCTGCCTTAACTATAGAGACTGCGTGCTTTCTTTAGGGTTGAGAGTGTTTTTCAGGGCAATAGCCCCCTCTTGAACCAGCTGCTAATAAAGGCTTTAATTATTAAGTGGTGTGGATTGATCTCACCTGCTACACCATTTTGGAGACGCTGGCAAGATCCCACTTACTGCAGACCGGCCACCCCTCTCTAAGCCCGCCCAACATGGAGGGCTTTCTTAGGGGAGGGGGCCCTGAGAGTGTTCCAGGACCCCAGGCACCCCTGGGGACCCCATAGGATGAACTCAGCAGGACCGTTCCGGAGTCTTTCTCACAAGCAGTCTATCTGCTTGCTCTCCTGTAAACTGTCTGTCTTGAGCATATCTTGTATCCTGTATCTGGGGGATACAATTCTGCAGAGAATCTCCCTTTCACAAGGGCTCGTGTACTTGGAAGGCCCAGGGAGCTTTGCCCTGGTCTGGTAACTGCCTGGTAACTAACTATCTGTTTAAACTCTCTCTTCCTGGGGAGGAAATTATTGTTCAAACAGAATGACTGTGTGAATGGGTGAGCACTTGCAACCTGTTATAGTCCTCTGTAACCAGGTCTCTGTGCTCCCCCGCCCACCTGCTTCTGCGACAGGATCTGATTGGGCTCTGACCTGCCCATTCACGGTGGTGATGTTGTGAGGCTTAACGGTGAACCCCTCTGCATCTTGAGAGGTTGCCAGGTCAGGGTTTAAAGGGCCTCACCTTGGCCAGGATGCACCCAACGGCTCGTGAGAGAGACCCGGCCAGGAGAGGCCATGAATGGTTCTACTTTTGTGAGACTCCCACCCTTTTGCTTGTCTGTGTTGCGCTGGGGAAGGGGTGTGGGGGCGCAAAAGTCAGCAAGATGAGCACTCTTGGGAGGCCCTGCTTTCTCCTTAGGTCATCCTAGTGTACTCTGTTTGGCTCCTGGACTGAGTCACCACCCCTAAAGAGTAGACTCCCCTCCAGAAAAGTCTCTCTTGGCGTTGTTGTCTGCTTTAATATCGTTTGTGTCACTCTACTTCGGGCTGTTCAGTGTCTTCCCTAAGCCTCTTAGTAACAGCAGTTGGGGCTCCTCCCTGTCTCCCTGAGAAGGGGTCCCTGGGGAGCCACAGCCGCAGTCCCACCTCCCTTTTCATGGGGACTGTTCTCTTGGGGGTTGCAGCATCTCCCTTCCCCCGCTTGACTGGCTCCCCTTCTCCCGTCTAGCTCCCTAGCCCAATTTGAATCTTTCCTGTATTCTCGGTTGGAAAATGTAAAGTGGTACCTGGGTCCATTTCGTCAGGCAGCAATTTTCTTTCCTTCCTGTGGGACATTCTCCTGCAAGGGGCTTTCCTCATTTCTCCTGCCTCTTCTTTCCACTTGAACTATGGGAACCTCCCTCTCTGCTTCACACACTCCCCTGGAGGGTCTGTGTAAGAATTCTCAAAAGCCTGCCCTACTGACTAGGGAATGAAGTTCTCCTCTAGCCACCTCCATACTCTGTGTGAGGCAAAGCAGCCAGCCGTCAATGTTGACTAGCCACCCAAAAGTTGTAACCCCTCTACCGTGGCCCACATTTGGACCCTTGTCACGAGTAACCCTGGTCACCCTGATCAATTCCCTTTATGTTAATCAATGGCTTGCCCTTGCTGGGTCGCCCCCTCCCTGGTTAAAAACCTGTTTGCATCCTCTGCTAAAATGCAAGTTCTTTTGTCCAGAACTTGCTGCAAAGCCTCTAAAACAGTGGTTCTCAACCTGTGGGTCACAACCCCTTTGGGGGTCGAAGGACCCTTTCACAGGGGTCGCCTAAGACCACCAGAAAACATAAATATTTCACAATATATCATTACATATTGTTTTGTGATTAATCGCTATGCTTTAATTATGCTTAATTATGTTCGATTTGTAACAATGAAAATACATCCTGCATATCAGATACATACATTACGATTCATAACAGTAGCAAAATGACAATTATGAAGTAGCAACAAAAATCATGTAATGGTTGGGGGTCACCCGAACATGAGGAACTGTATGAAAGGGTCGCGGCATGAGGAAGGTTGAGAACCACTGCTCTAAAACAAAGCCAGTTCCAAATCTTCCTCCTTCCTTGCCTCCTCCTTATTGCCTTCCCCTTTCAACTCCTCCCCACCCCACAGTGTTCTTCTTCACCCCTGACCTCCATCCTTGGCCTCACCCCCCACCCCACCCCCCGCAGCAACCCTCCCTCCTCCCCAAGTCTCTTCTGTCCCATTATCACAGCCAGAGTCCCCGAAGAGCCAGGGGTACTCTCCAGTATGTGCCCCCCACCCCAAGTCCTTCCCTTGTAAAAAGCCAGCCCTCCTGCTGGTTTGTCAGGTTGCTCATTCCCTGTGTGTGTCTCCTTCTCCATCTGTATAAATGAAAAGCCCACAAACCCCTTTACCTGAAAAACCTCCGGTCTTCACTTCCCCCATTGAGTCCTTCTCCCATCCCTCACCCTCGTACTCCCCACCTCCAGGGCAGCAGGCCCTGGGCATTTATCACCACCAGTCTCTTCTCATCGGCATAAAAGCTGCCTCTAAAAATCCCACCAGCTTATACAGAACTTTCACTCCTTTTGATTCCTCAGCCCCTGAAAACGCCCGACAGCCAATCTAGTTTTTGTTCTGCAGTCCAAGCCTGACATCCAAATAGCAGGAGGTCTTGCTGGCATGAACACTGGCCATCTTGCAGAAATAACCCAAGCATTTTTAATAACCACAACCTTGAAAAACAGAAACAGCTGATAAGGCTGCTTAATGCCAAGCCAACAACAACAACAAAAAATTGTTACCACTATCAAAACTGGCAGCCACCTGCGCAGCTTGCCAGCCTACACAGGCTGCGCTGCCATCTCGTGGCCCACAAGCCTCACAACAACCCACAAACACCGGCAGGCCAATGTGCTTATTGTAAGCATACTGGCCACTGGAAAAATGAATGCCCCACTTCCAAGACCTTTCTGCGCCGATCTCTATCCTCATTCTACCTACTCAAAACTCTGATGCTAAATGGGAAAGCCGGGGCTCTAGGCCCCCAAGAGCCCATCATCACAGTAAATATAGGGGACCAATCTGCTCCCTTTATAGTAAATACAGGAGCTGAACTTTCT